CGCAGGATGATTTTTTTCAAACCCTTTCAAGCCCGTTTGTTTTTTTTGCTTTTGGGGTGTCTAAAGATTGGTTTAAAAAGGGGAGGGAGGGCGGGCCGGGTTGTTTTTTCGCCTGTTTTTGCTTCCCCCATTGTCAGGAGGGGGGGGGGGGGGGGTTCCTGGGTGTTTATTGTCCACGGCACGGGTGGGTTGTCGATTGGATTCGCGCGGGAGCGGATGTGTTTTTGGTAGAGGTCAGATAGGTTTTTGCAATGCTACTACAACACAGCAATGGCGACAACGGTGACAGCGTAGCAGCAGCAGCAGCAGCACCAACGCCAACCACGACGACAACACCAACACCAACACCAAAAACATATACAACATCACTGCCACGACAACAACCAAACAACAACAAGCAACACCACCACCACCGCCACAACAACAACAATGACGATGATGACGACAGGGAAACCAGCAACAACAACAACGACAGCAGCAACAACAAATAACCACAACATCAAACGACGGCGCCAGCTACCCAACATCAACGACAACGACAACAACAACAACAACAACAACAACAACAACAACAACGACAACAACATCAACAACAACAACGACAACAACAACGACAACGACAACAACAACGACAACAACACCGACAACGACAACATCAACAACAACTAACAACAACTAACAACAACATCAAACGACGCGCCAGCAACAAGACACCTGGAGACGAGAGCCAGCGGGGTCGTCGAGAAGATACCGCTTGGTCGCGGGAGCCACGTAGGAGATGGTCCGGGACCCAGCCTTCCTGGTGTAGAGACGGTCCACTGGAAAGTCGTCCCGCATGCCGAACCACGTCTTGATCTGATTCGTTTGTTCGCAAGCGTCGTTTGGGGGGGGGGGGGGGGGGGGCCCCCCAAAAACAAATTTCTTTCTTCCTTAACGTCCTTTTGGGGGGGGGGGGGGGGGGGGGGGGGATCCCCCGGGGGGGTTTAAAAAAACCATTGGGGGCCCCTTGGGTTTTTAAAATAAAAAAAAAGCTTTTGGGGGGGGGTTTTGGGGGAAAAAAAAAAAATTCCCCCCGGGGTCCCCAAAAAAAAGGAAAAAACCCCCCCCCCCCCTTTTCGGGGGGGGGTAAAAAAACCCCACCAAAAAACCCGGGGGGGTTTTTCCAAAAAAAAAACCCCTTTTTTTTTTTTTTTAAAAAAAAAAAACCCCCCCTTTTCCCCCCCCCCCAAAAAACCCCAACAACCCCCCTTTCCCACAAAAAAACCCCCCAAACCCCCCCCTTATACCCCCCCCCCCCTTTTGGGGAAAAAAAAATCTCCCCCCCCAACCCCAAAAAAAAAAAAAACCCCC